TGCTGCTGCTGCTGCTCTGGTTGCTGCATCTGGGTAGCTATGATGTGCTCGACGACAGCCTGCACAGAGCGACAGAGCCGACAGAGGACCGTGTGCATCAAGCATGCTGCTCATTGGTCTGTGTGCGGCTCACCTCGTTCGATGCTCAGATGGACAGATCAGCTTGCAGAGAACTGAATGCACCACCACCAGCAGCAGCGGCAGATGAGGAGGCCGCCGTCACTCCTCAACGACACGCCTGCAGCGATGGGCCGACAGACAGACAGAGAGAGAGATGCCAACAGAAAAGGACGGCGAATGCATTGAGGCCAATGGATCAGTGAGGGCATCAGTGAGTCAGTCAGTGAGTGGTCGGCCGCCCTCACCTCTGTTTGGCTGTCAGCTCAATGGCCCGCCATCAGATCAACATCATTTGTCTGGCCGACGCGTCGGGTGACAGGGTACAAAACCCTTTAGCCCATACCCTGACTTTCGTTCATATTGTTTTCATCTCTTTTGGCCTCTTTCGGTTTGGTGCGCAGCCCTCCTGACGGCTCTATGCTGAAATCTGTCTGTCGTCCTTTGGCGTCCACTTCGCCTTGTCAGCTGAGGTCGGCGTCACAGACGCACACACACTCGGCGAGTCAGTCAGGTGAGCATCGCCATGTGTGTCTGCAGACTATCTGTCTATCTGTTTATCTGTCTGTTGAGTGAGTTGAGTGTGGGTGCGGCCGTCCGTCATGACGACAGACAGACAGACAGACAGACACTGCTGCGGCTGAGGGCGCCGAGGTGACTTACCGCCGACCGCACTCGAACACCGCAGCGGTGCGCAGACAGCCACACAGACACACACACACACACACAGATCCCATCACACACAGATGGGATGGATGTGACACGCGACAGGAGAGAATTCATCAGCCGACTGTCTGTCTGTCTGTGTGTGGTTTGTGTGGCGTGCAGGTGTGGTTGGCTGGCGGCTTTGACGACTGACGATGGCTGCTGCTGCTCGTCTCTCTCTCTCTCTCTGTGTGTGAGATGTGTCGGCCGACACACACAGACTCTGCCTGACTGACTGACTGGAGTTGATTACATTTCTTTCTCTCTCTCGTTGCTTGGCCGCCCTTTGTGTGTCACGGGGGTGCCTTTATTGTGCCGCTTTGGATTGTGGGGTTCTGCGTGTCGGCCGTCTGCTGCCGTGAGTGTGTGGGCCGGTGAGTGGGGGGCGGGGGAAATCTGACAGACAGACAGAGAAGGGGACGATTGGCTGATTGGCTGCACAGAGAATCGCTGTGTGGTGCAGTGTCTGGGTTGCCGTTTGTCTGTCTCCGCTGTAGGTGACGGATGAGCGCGAGAGTGTATTGATCTCTCGTCGGTGCATCCGTCACACATGGGCGGCTCACAGACAGACAGGCAGGCCGACACACAGACAGTGTCGCGGACGGCTGTTTTGTTGTTTTGTGCCGCTCCCCTGGTGTGGGAAGAGAGAGGTTTGTTTGGCTTGTTTGGTTTCTAGAGATGGGATGGGCACACAGAAGTTGGAGAGAGGGCTCTGTTTGGTTCGCTGTGGTGTCCGTGTGTCGGTGTGCTGACTGTGAGTGAGATGCTCATCTGTGACCAAACACATTGAGTGTTGATCATCACTCTCTGTGTGCGGTGGCCGTTGGGCATCTCACAGACAGACACACGCCTGTTCGTTGGCTTCCCTTTGATGCGCATCGTGTGTTGGCGAGAGAGGGAGAGAGAGTTTTCTGTTCGCCTGGCTGGCTGTTTCTGGTATCGTGTGCTGACTGTCTTCCCTCTGACTGTCTTCCCTCTCTACCTCTCTGTGGGCACCTCGTCTGTCGTCAGTCAATCTATGAGTGGCAGCATGTGTCTGTGTCTGTCGCTCTTCGATTGCCGGGCGGCTGCCGAGATGCACACGAGAGAGAGGGCGGCGGGATGGACACACACTGACACACATCAATGGTTTTCATTGCGCCCACACGACCGGTCAGCCCTTCTGCTCTTATTGGACTCTGGTCCTCCTCCCCCTGTCTCTCCTGTGGGCATCAGCCCATGTCAGGTGTTGGTGCTCTTGGGTTGCTGTGTGGTGAGAGAGATGCCCACAGAGGGACTGTGTGCGAGTGAATGAGTGGATGGAATGGACACCAAACCCGCGAATAAAGTGAGGTGATGGGTTTGGTGTGTCTCTCTGTCTTTCTTTCTTTCTGCTCTACATGCGCACGGCCCGTGTGTGATGATTTAAAGGGGAGAGAGATCAATGGAGGTGTTCTTGTTCTGGCGTGGTGATCCTGCGTGTGTTGGTGTGCTGGCTGTCAATTGCTTGTGTGTCACCCAACACATTGAGTGTCCGTTCTCCCTCTCTGTGTGCGGTGACGGTCGAGCTTCTCACAGACAGACACCATCGATCCACACACAAGCTTTGGCTTTCACAAATGGAGGGATGGATTCCCTCTCTCCTTCTCCCTCTCCCTCTCCGTCTAGTGTACAGTTTTGCGATGCCAGCCACATATCAGCCCTTGTCACCTGTTTGTGTGCATCTGTTCACTTGGCGTGTATGGCGGTGCACGCGTCTGACGCATGCCGCGCTTTGTCCATTCCGGTTTCAGTGTGCAGCTCGATGGATGGACCGCTGGATCGCTGCTCGCCCGGCTGCACTTCTTTTCATTGTCTTTTCATGTGCGTTGCCTGCCCACAGATGTCGAGTACACACTCGTGCCGACGCATGACATTGTGTCTGGCCTGGATGAGTGATTGAGTGACCTTCCCATTGAATGAGTCTGACAGACGGTCAGGTCACGGCACCCACACACGCAGACACACTCCACCAGTCAGTCATTCAGGGAGGCAGGCATGGCCAGTGAGTCAGCCAGGCAGCCGTACACACCCACACATCGGCCGATGCATCACATCAAAATCGGCCAGCACACAAGATGACCCAGCCACACCCACACGCAGCCAGCCAGCCAGCCATGAGGACGCGCAGATGTCTCCTTCACGCAAACCAACAGAGGGCGGCAGAGAGGGCTGCGCATAGAGAAGAGCGACGCACGGGCAAAGAGCGACTCCACAGACCGACTGAACTGACAGATCAGAGGAACGGAACTGCTTACCACCCACGCAGCCAAGCCAGCCATTCGGTCACATATCAGCAGCTGGTCTGTCCACAGAGTGAGTGGTATGCGATGTGTCTTGCGTACACACAGATCGGCTAAAGACATGACGACAGCCGGCACCCGACAGAGACCCTCCTGTAACACACACACAACACACCAGTCAGGGCAACATTCAGCCACATGGCCTAATTGCATCGCTGCTCACCCACCAGTTTTGATGGATAAACCGATCAGTCGCCGCTCTCCTCCTCAGCTGCTGCATCGTCACCTGTCGAAGACACAAACACCCAAATGAAAGTCATGGAGGTCGACGTGAGGGCCTTTGTGCGCGGTCCTTCTTTGTACCTCCGCTGCCCTCATCCGTATCGTCACCCTCATCGCCACCGCCGTCGGAATCTGCAGACCACACACAGAGAGAAGGCACGTCTTCCATCCATCCATCCATGTGTGTGTGTCCGTACCATGGCTATCTTCATCTTGTTGCTGCTGCTGCTGTTGGTGCAATTGCTGCTGTTGTACTTGTCCGTCGAATACGAATAGCGCCACCGCCTCCAACGCCACACGAGCCAGCTGAGTGGTCATGGGGTAGCGGTGCTTGAAAAAACCAACCCCAGTCACAGCCGCCTCAATGGTCACGACATGCACACTCACTGCGCACCAGGGGAAGGAGAATACGTGACATCTGACATGCAGGGCTTCCTCTCTGTCACACTGACCGTCGTTATTTCCTGACACGCTGATGTGAATCCATGCGACGAATGGGTGGCTGCCGTCTGTGAGCACCAGCCGTCGCAGACGACCGTTTTGGCTCATTGTGGTGGTGCATCCGGCCACCGGTGTGTAGGGCGACCGAGTCAGCAGGCCATCCAGACGGCCGCCATCAACGTACCTGAACCAACCACAGGCACAATCAATAGCGCTCCCTCTTGCCACTGGTGCCCTTAGTTTTATTACCTGTTGAGTCTTATCAATGTGTAGTTGGTCTGCTGGGTCTTGTCGAAGTAGTCGACGATCATGAACTTGGCAAACGACGACACTGACGAATCGGTGTACTGGCCACCTAGCAACAACCATCGGCTATGGACGAACGTGTAGTAGATGCTCTCACGCACCGGTGGGTCGTGTAGCTGTCGGTGCTGCTGATACAGGTGGTCGGCAGGGAGGGGCGGGTCAACCTCCAGCCGGAAGCCGGGCTCGTCCTTGATGGCCCACACCTCATTGCCGTGCTGGAACAGCTGCAGACAGCTGCCATCACTGAAGTGGACGTGGCTGCCGACCATCTTGAGCTGCGCCAACACACGGGGAGCCGACACATACGCCTACACACACAATCACACAGACACAGAGAGAGAATGAGGCCCTCTCCCTCCCCTCCCCGCCCCTCTGTTTGCTGGCTCACCGTCTTG